AGACTGGAGAGCCAGGCAAGTTGTTCGGGCTGGCCTCTGTTTGCTGTTGGCTGGTGCTCTGGGCTAGGCCCCTGTCTGCGTGGGCTCCACGTCTTCTGTTTTGTTCCCTCTACACGTGGCCAGGAAAAACCCAGGCTGGAACATAACTCTTCAACCCCATTTATCCCTCTAGTTTTCTAGAGGAGAGAGATATATCTGACAAAGCTGGCATTAATCATGTTAATGTTCCACAGCGAAGTACAAAATGCTAGTGATGCGCAGTGAGAGGAGGCAGGCATAGTGCTCAATAGAGGCTTAAAAAGGGGCTCATTTCCAGGGGAGCGGTGTGTAGTCCCAGCTAATATTAAGCAGTTATGTGCTGCATGGTGTTTAAATAGCAAGGCGCGCTAATAAATATATGTCCTATATGGCATGTAAACACCTGGCAGAAGAGGAGGATCAGTGGATTTATATGAAAATTTAGAAGCAAGTTAAAGGGCAATTAGAGGAGCAGAAAGAGTTACTGAGCAGAGAATTGCAGCAGATATTTTAACACACAATCAAAGCTTCTTGAGATATATTCAGAGCAGACAGAAGGTAAAAGAGAAAATTGGTCCATTACAGAATGATAGCAGGGAATTGGTGACATGGGAGAAGGTAATGGTTGATTTGTTAAACAGTTATTTTGATACTGTTTTTACAGAGGAGGAAGAGGATGGAAAGCTGCCGAAGACAGGGATCAGATTTCTTGATTAGGTAGGGGAAGGGCTCAAGAGACTATAGGGGAAGGTGGAAATGGCTGCGGAAGGACCTCGGCTGCACTCGGGAAGACGGTCACAGCCGACTGTGTCCAGGGACTCTTAAGAGCCTGGAGACTCTCGGTCCAGATCCATTTGCTTACATGACACCCGCTGGGCCCTCGTGAAGAGGCCAGTGGCAGCTGAGACAGGCCCCTTTGCTTTGAGGCAGAGTCCCCAGGGCGGGGGACAGCTGGGCACACGCAGGACTGTGGTGGCGTCGACTAAAATGAGCAAGAGAAGCTGGCAGATATAAGGGAGATAAAGTCTGTCAGTGTACAAGTTCGAGGGGAATCGGCAAGGTGCAGAAAAGGAAATATCCTTGGTGGCAGAATAAGAAATGTCATGTTTGGAAATCCTGTTGCACGTGGCACAGCACCGGTGGCAGAAAGCATGCCACGAACCCAGCGGTGGTGAGCCTGGGGCGGGCGGACTCTGGCAGCTGCAGAAGTCCTGATGCCGGTTTATGTAAGTGGTGCCCTTGCCTTGAGCTGGCCTGCGGTGGGGGAGAGCACTCCTCTGAAAGCAGGCTTGACTTCTGAAGAGCATGAAAGTGGACAGGATCATTTTTATCTTAAAAAGGAGGAAGAAAGGCCACACACTGCGTGAAGCAAGTACTGGTCAAGAAACTGCACATAAGCCCCGGGGAGGATGCTTGAAACTGTTTAATGTGATGTCTGCTTGGGCTGAAAAAGGGAAGCTTTCTTTTGACTAACTTCCTTTGGTTCTTTGAATTCTTCCCTGTCTGGGCAGACAAGTGGAAAGGAGAGGGCATCGTATGCCTGGGTTTTCAAAGTGCATATGATAAGGCTCCTTGCTAACAATTGTGACTGAAGCGCAGAATCATGGGAAAGAGGTAAAATGGGTAGAAAATTGGCTCCGGCTCAGAAAACAGCATGTGGCTGGAAATGGGATTCTGTAGCTGCGAGTGAATTTCCAGAGACATAATCTGGAGTCTGTTTGGGGTTTTCTTTTGTTTATACGCCGTGCAAATGATTTGTACAAGGAAACCAAAGCTGGGATGTGAAAGCTTATGGCGGCAACGAAATCAAGAGGAACAAGGCGACCAGACGGGGAAGGGCTGGCATTCCCTATGGGAGCGTGGCTCTGAAGGGGAAGTGCCGCTTGGTGTAGAGATGCGTGACGGTGACAAGCCGATGGGAGGAATAGACAGTGGCCAGGCATGTTTCCCAGGGGTGCAGCAGGGATGGGAAGTGCTCGGCCCAGGGCCTGGCCATGGGCGATGGGCAAGCCGCCTCCTGAGCAACAAGAGGAACGCGTGCAGCTGCAGAGGCGAGCTTGCCGCTGTACCCAGTGCAGCTCGGTGCCCGGCTCTCCTCATCGTTCCAGAGGGGCGATGGGCTTGTCCAGGCAAGAGGGTTGTATGCCGTGATAAAGCTGGGCTGCCCGACGTGTAAGCAGCACAGCTTGGAGCAGTGGCTGGCTCTTCTCCCAGGGGCTGGCATGCTTCTCTCTCCGCTAATGGGACTAACTGCGCTGGCAACTGGCCTTCTCCTCATCCCTTCCCACACGCTCGCGTAGGGCTTGGAGGGTCTGGGCCGGGTTTGGTTTGATGGGGGGAGGATTCACAGATCTTAAGGGCAGAACAAACCAGTGTGATCATCTACCTTGACCTGCCATGTGGGGCAGGCCACGGGCAATCCCCAGCGATTCCTCCATCCCACCCACAGCATCTGGCTGTGGTAGGGCAGGTCTTTTAGAAAGGGACATCCTGTCTTGGTTGGCAAATGGTTCCCCTCCCCACCTGAGTGACTCTGACGCCTAATGGGCAGAAGTCAGAGCAAGCCGTACAAACGAACCGGTGCTCCAGCAGATGCGGCTGCAGGGGAGGAGCGGGTACAGAGGCCTGCAGCAAGAAGGGGCGTAAGAGGAATGTGGTGGAGACTTAAAGGCTGTGATGGGCCAGGTGGATTCCCCTGTTTAGCAGTTCATTATGTCTCACTTTGGGTTGTTCAACAGCATCCTTTATTGCTAGGAGTCGGAGCATTTGATTGACAAGGGATGTAATACATGATGGAGTTGCCTTTATTTTTTCTACTTCTTAGAGGCAAAGATACTAAAAATACAATTATGGTTTAGGGCCAGGCATAGTCTGTTCTAATATAATTCATCTCAAAGAGTACCCGCATTGCCTGCTGCACCCAAATCACTTCTAAAACATTAGCATCCCCTGTGCTGACATCTCACTTCTATATTACAGGAGTTACACGGAGACTTTAAAAAAATTAATAAAGTGCTTCTCTTCTTCATTCTCCCACTGAGAGCTTTGATTTCCAGAGTATGAAGTGAAATAACCAACATAACAACATCCTCCAGTTCTAAAGGACAGTGCCAGAAACATTCAGCTGCTCTTGGTTATCGTGTGTAGGACGTGAGGGAGCTATTTCAGATCGCAGATTATTTGTTCTGGCTGCATTGGCCATCCCTTTAGTGGAGGTTTAGAGCCCTGTAGATGGAGAAGTTGGAGAGGAGCTGGAACAGAGAGGACAAGACAAGATAAGTGATTCCTCTGTCTTCCCAGTGCGGTTCCTGCCGTTCTCTGGCTCAGTTTGGCAGCCCCTGCGCCATCTCCCAGCTTGTCCCGCTCCACGCTAGGCTGGCAGGAGACGCTGCGCTGGTTTCCAGCTAAAAGTTTAGCCGCCTGCTTCTAGGACCACGCTGTGTCCTCGGGACACGTGACGTGACGCTGGCACATTCTGTCCCCAGAACAGGTGGATTCGGGGGCTTTCCCAAGCCAGCTCCAAGAACCTCGATGAAGATGGGCCCCCGGCAGGAGCCTGCGATATTTAATGGGGAGTTCGTGCCCTGCCGCCCGCCCCCCGCTCCTCCTGCGAGCCCCAGGTGCGGGGCAGAGCTCGTGGGCCGTTCACGCGGCGCCCAGTGGCGAAAGGCTCCCTGAAGGATGGGGCTGGGAAATGCTGCTCGCCCGGACGACAGCGGTTTGGAGAGCAGACATTTTCCTGAGGTTACAGTGAGTCAGCGCAGCCTTGCTCGGCCGCCGTGTGCATGATACAGAGCACGAGCCGCGTCCTTAGGATTGGTGTCTGGCTCCAAACAGGAGCTACAGGCTAGAGATGTGTCATGGCAGCTGCAACCGGGTTAGGAAATGAAAAACAGGCCTGGCTTGTCGAACATCACTTTTATTTCCCTCTTTCATTAACTTCACTGTTTTGTTTCTTCTCACATAGCCACTCTGACAGGGAATTAACATTGACTGTTTGTGCAAAATTTGGGACACCGTCTCTGATAGCCCGCAAGCTGCTATCACTAACACTGCCGTCTCTGCCACAACCAGCCCGCACCGGACCGCGACACGAGCTCCGGCCTCGGCCCGCGGCCAGGGGAGCCGGTCGACCCCCTCCTCCTCCTCCTCCTCCTCCTCCTCCTCTCCCCCCTCTTCACGCAGCTCCTCTCGCTTTGCTGCCCTGTGCATTTTTTCTCGCTCGTGGACAGAAGCCGTGGGCTCTATGTTTCTTACAGGTCACTGACAAGATTCCCAGTTGATCGCTCTGCACGTCTTTCTCAGTTCTCCGTAGCCAAATCTGTTCCTTTTACGGAACAAAACCTTCCCCACTCCGTCGGGACTGTCTGCAGCCAGTCCCGACTCCGCTCCCTCCACTGGGGTGAAAACCTTAGACCAGCTATAAAGGTCCTCACAAGACTAACACTGTTGGGAACTGCCTCGGACTCCAGCTAGAAAGGCCTCTCTCCTGCCCCAGGCCTGGGGGCGCTTTCTAGGAGACGGAGCTCTATGGCTGTGTTTGTTTGGACTGGACATTTCTAATTCATCCCCTTCCCATGTGACGGGTTACAAGGTAGGGCATACGAGTGAGTTTTGGCTCTTCAGATATGGACTCTGTTGCATTACATACAAAAAACCTCGAAAAGGCTAGTGCTCTAAATTGGTCTGCTGTGGTTGCCCCCGCGCATGCCGAGCCTGACGGGTGGCTGGCCAGCATCTGTAGGCACTGCTGCCAATCGCTTACTAGAGAAAATCAGATACTGTTTTGCTATAAATCCACCGATACAATCCTTAGTTCTGAAGATATAGTTTCCGTATAGTTTATAAACATTATAAGACATACATACGGTTAATTGAGGGGAAGGGACCTGTGCATTTGTTTGTTTTTTATATGTGAACACGGTTACAAAAGACGCACCTTCTGTAGGTACCTCAATCCTTTTAAGTTTTTAATTTCCACCTCTAATCAGTCTTTCCTTTGGTAGTTGGCTACTCCTAGCCCAGCAGGCAAGCCCTGTTCTGCTGTGTGCCTGAGATATTCAGGGATTTGAGATTGTCTTCCAAGAGATTTCCAGCCAACGTTGGCCTGCGGGTTCGGAGCCAAAAGGGGCAGAATGTGGGAGAACCAATGTCCTTATTCCACGTTTTGTAAGTGTCTGTGCACAGTTTCAGATAAACAGTGTAGGCTTAATTGGTGATCGTTTTTACAGCAGTTACGTTCCCTTCAGTAATCGCAGGGTCTTTCAGAGCTCTCTCAAATTAACAGGATTTCACATAGAGCACAGCTACTGTCCATGTCTGTCCAGTTGTTATTAATGGAGGATTAGCTCCTGTCCCTTTGATCTGTTTTTGTAAGGTTGGCTTTTTTGTAGGTGCTCAGTTGGGGCTGTTTGTGACAAGGATGTGATAATGCCTTTAATCCGATCCTGCCGTGCACGTTCTGTACAGTCCATGTTTATAATCCACCCGTCCATGTATGGAGACCATCCAAAGCCTAAACAACATTCTTTCCTTCACAAGGCCAAATTCTCCATGTACAAAAAAAGAAGAAGAAAAGAAACTCTGGTCCTTTGTAGATTGGTGGCAGTACAGATTCTGTCCGTCGCAGCCCGGCTCAGCGTATTATGACCGCTAACACCATGATAAAAACCAGAAGAGGGGCCCTGACCTGCGAGCTCCCAGCTGCCTGCTGGACTCCACTGGGGGGTCGAATGGGTGTCCGCCGGGTACACTTACCCTTCCGCTTTGGTGGTGCTGTGGGCATCATGCCAAAGCTGAATTTGTGCTGGTAGTCAGGCACGTAGTCCTGAACCTCGTGAATGCTTTTCCGTGGCCCCAGGGACACCGGTTTAGAGGTTCGGTTGCGGCTTTTGTGGCTGGTGCAGTTCTTGCTGGGCTTTCTGTAGCCTGGACGCGAGCCAGGAGGTGGTGCAGGCTGGCTGCTGTGTAAACCGTGCTCCATCCCTCTCTCCTTGCCCTTCTCCCTGGAGGAGTGGTGGGGGTGGTGGTCTTTGGGCACTCCTCTGTCGGCTGTGGAGAACGTGTGTGTTTTGATCTGATGGAGGGACTCAGACCCAGAACAGTTCCTAAAGTCCTCTGCTTTTAGCATCTTCAGGTCCTTGCCGTGCATCTGCTCAGGAGATTCGCAAATCACGCTGGAACTGGAACCCCTGAACCTGCGCAGCCATTCCCAGAGCGACCTGGCCTTGCAGTCGCAGCTCCAAGGATTGCCATTCAGCCGGAGAAACTCCAGGGCCGCCAGGTGCGCGAGGCACTCCCCGTGGAGCTCGGAAAGGCTATTATTGAACAGGAAAAGCGTGGTCAGTCTTCGGAGGTCGTGGAAAGCCCGTCTGTGGACCCACTGCAGCTGGTTTTGATGGATGAGCAACCTATCCAGGTTTATTAGCCCCCTGAATGTGTTCTGATGCAGGCTCCAGAGCTTGTTCCCATGGAGGAAGAGATGGCTAAGGTTGACTAGGTCAACAAAGATGTCATCCTGCAGGAACTCTATGTGGTTATCTTGTAGATAAAGGTACTGTAGATTGTGGAGGCCACCAAATATCCCACTGGGCAAGGAGCTCAACCCACATTTGTACAGGTACAGGGCATGGAGTTTCGCCAGCCCTTGGAAGGTCTCCGCTGCCAAAGCCCTCAAATAGCGGTTATCTCCCAAATCCAGCTCCTCCAGGTGAACAAACCCATCGAAGGTGTCTGGGTCGATGAAGGTGATGTTGTTGGAGTAGATCCACAAGGTGACCATGGAAGGGCTGAAGTGACCACGCAGAAGCAAGGTGATCTGGTTGTTTTGCAGGAAAATCCTCTCGCTGTTTTCTGGAATCCCCTCGGGAATGGTCACGAAGTTGTGGGCCTGGCAGCTGACAGTCATGGGGGACGGGTAGCAGACGCAGTCGGTGGGGCAGCATGCGGTGAAGGGAATCTCGAGGCCAAACAGCATCAGGAGCAGCTCCACAAAACCCCCTGTTCAGAAAGGGAGAAAACAGGGTTAGTCGAATTAAGACATCTTGTAAATCATTCACAACCACCTGCCTCGCAGTCACAGCTGCTGGGATTGTTCTTAGTGAAAAATTCATCCAATTAACTCAATCCTTTTTTCTGTTCATGAATTATCCAGAGGCAGCCTTAGGTTGCGGGGGGCAGGTAACCGCTCTGCTCAAACACGCGTCGGCGGACGGAGTATTTGATCAGACTTTCCCTGTTTACTTGTGATGGGTAAACGCTCACCTTGGTCACGTGTTGGTGTTCTGCACTGTGGCTGGGCAACTAGCAGATTTATGCAAATAAAATCACTTCTCACGTCTGTGGAGAACCAAAGACAGAGAGGTGCAAATATGACAAAAGGGTCTGCGGATACCATTCCCCCCCTCCACCTCCAGCTCTCCCGGCGGCACCAGCCCCGCCTGCTAGATGGCGTTTCCCAGGCGCGGGCTGCTGCTTTGCACCGGGGAGCACCAAGCACGTGCCGAGCCACTGAATGGAGCAGATGTAGGAAACCAGGCCCATCTCATGGCTGCGTCCCCCTCTCCCCACCTTCTCCAGCAAGACCAAGCAGCACGGGAAGTGGGTGCTCAAGCATTTTCGTGGCTCTCCCGTGACATGACACACTACACCTCCTGTTGCCACGGAGAGGGCCTGTGCACATGGCTCCATTACAGCAGAGAACAAAAGGTAAAAATGGCTTTATTCAGCCTTTGGACAGTGGGGGTCACCCCCCACGCGCCTCCTGATCCCACTCCACTCACTGCTCTTTTTGGGGCTGCCCTTCTGCATGGAAGGACTTTCAAACATTTGCAAGGGACCCTCATTCCTCATTCGCAGCCACGTCGAAGACCAACGTCTTCCACTCACGCGCTCACTAATGCAGCCTGTACCTGGACATTATAGGAGCAGAGTGGGAGCTCTGAGTACTGTACACAAGTGCCATCCTGTCTTGGAAACCCCTGACCATCTGCTGAAGCATAATTTTCCTACAAGCTGGGCTGGAAGGAGCACTCACCCGCTCCAGGCCGTCACTGGAAGTCCTGCAACTCCCAGAGTTTTATAAGTCCCCTTTTCCTGCAGCTCAAGCTGGGAAGGGGGATTTAACAGTCAGACCAAATGTTGAGAAGAGAATAGAAAATCTGCTTTTCCCTGACACTTTCTATTGAAAAGTATACCTCTATGGCTGCTTTCCTCAGTTGTGTAGTGTGAGATACTGCTGCACCGTTGATTGTTAATTGATCTGTCCATCTGGCTCCGCTCTTTGAATGCAAAGTTATCATATTTTAGAGTGACTGGACTACCCAAACTCTCAACAAGGGCCAGCAAAAAGCAGGCATCTCTGAGTGTGCTGGTAATAAAATCCGGCTGAGCTAAAGGCCTCGACCCAAACGTTTAGTAGGATCCTTTGATGAGAGCAGTGGGCTTCTCTGAATCGTGCCCTTCAAAAGCTGCAAGTTTGCATTTGCTGATGTGAATGATTTCTCGTCCCTGTGCATTGACAAAGAAGGGCTGTCAGTCAGAAGTGTGTAATAACTGGAACTCTTACTATTACCGTTGTGTATTAGGCGCACTCCTCAAGCCGTTTGCGTGCTAGTGTGGCTTCGCCACTATACATTGTTGATTGCAAGAGAGGGAGGGCTCTGGTGCCTTACAACTACTCATCCCTAGAGGTTTTGTCTGTCCCCGACTTTCCCTCGCTCTCTGCCTAAAGAACCGTCTCTGCGGTCCGTAGCGGCGGCCGTGCTCTCAGACCGCTCGCCAAACGTTTCCCGGTCCCGGCTGCAAACTTGCCAGAAAAGCTGCACTTTGCATTTGGGCAGAAAACCACTCCGCAGTGCAACCGGGATGGGTGTTGCCTTGTCTCCGTTTGTAACAGCGGTGACGCTGAACCACGGAGACGTGCTCGGACCCCGTGTGTGTTAGCAGCGTCCTCCCGGGCACCGATCGCTGGGGTGTGCTCCCCGTGTGAAGGCGGCTGGTGCGAGGGCTCATGCGGAAGGGGCTGGCTCAGGGAACCCCCTCCCCATTTTAAGCAGCAGGTTGGAAGATTGCTTGGTGCCTAAAAGCAGGAAGTCAGCACACGGCCCCGTGACGCATTTGCCTCTGTGCTAACAAGACTGCTGGTGAACACGTGCGGCGTGATAGTCTGGCGGCGTGGGGGATAACGTGTGGTGATGACGGCACAGGCCACTTAGCACTGTGCCGTGGCAGGCCCCTTCCCCCTTGCCATATGGATGGGTGGAGCGGGTGCAGCGGTACCAGCCCAGTGTGGCAGTGTTGAAAGCAGCTTCTGCACAGGGCTGAGAAACTGCCCAAGAGTCAGGCCTGTCCCGTAACTACAGCGTGGTCCAAAGCTCGTTTTGGAGGAGGAGATGTGTGTCGGGCTAATGTGAACTGATGCGGTATAAATGGTGCTGAGGAAATAGGCAGGGAATAGGAGCCTAGCAGCACAGATACTTTGGGCAATAGGGTTGTACAGAGGAAAGCAGGCACCTTTCCTCTAACTACACCTTGGCAGCGACAATTGAAGATGCAATGAGCAGAAGCTACTGCCATCTTCTGATTATCCGCCGTCACCGTGTGATAGGTGAGAGCCTGGTCACCTCAGCGGGCCCCAAACTTAAAGCCAGAGGTGGGCAGCCCGGGACCAGTGAAGTGGATCGTGGGAACTATTAAGCCCTTTATCTCATAAGTCCTGCTAGGCTGTTGTGACCTGTCGCGTGGCTCCGCTGCTGCGTAGTAGCCTGCGTGTTACAGCCCTTCCTTCATTTGGAAGGGCCACCGCTGACCACAGCTCAGAACAACTGCTCTTTAGGAGCCAGAGTCCCCTGCTGGGACCTTCTTTCCTCTGCAGAAAGCCAGAATGTGATTAACTTGCTGAAAAACCTTCTATTATCTTGAGTGCAGACCTTTCAACTTCCTCCAGCAAAAGCTGTGAGGCAGATGGAGTGTCACTGGCATGCGTGTCAAAAGTAGACGGGTAGGGAGAGTTTGAAAAGCTGAATGGAAAAACACTGTGGAAACCTTTTAATTAAGCATTTTAAGAAAATGCAGCACTGCTGACACTGGTAAAGATGCCAACGACCTGGCTGGTGTCTCACTGTTATTATTACACGCAGCCACCGCATTGTTTCCACCCCACATTTCCATTCATGGTCTCGTTCTGCACTCACTTGGGTTTTTACTGTGATCTTCCTGACTGGAGTGAATTCATTGGGCTGTCCAGATTATTTCCCACATAGCTTCTTATAATTGGGCATTAATTAGGCATTAGTTAATGGATGCTTGAAATAATTTATCTTTGGATGTGTCCAGCTTGCAGTCTTACTTTTAACGGTATTACACTCATTATTAGACTAACATCATTATAAATGTTCTTCATTACCTGCTAGTTTCTATCGTATCAGCCTTATTATTGGAAGTGGAAATCACTCCTCCTGAATGCATTATTAATGAATAAGGACTTGCTATATGCAGCACTGGATGAGTTGTTATACCCCATTATGCATCTCGTGGTAAGCCTGAACTTGTGCTGGAGCTGAAGAGGTCAGAAGGGCTGGGAGGCCAGTGAACAGAGCCAGCGAGCCAGCGGTCCCCAAGAGACGCTGCGCTGTCTCTGGTCTGCTTTGGCCTCGTCTCTGCTATGTCTACATTTTTTTTTTTTTTTTT